CTCTGCCCCTTGGCCGGGCGCTGCCTGCGCCCAGCACTGGCCGCCCTGCCCCACAGCCCAGCTGGGCCGGGGCTCCAGCGGCACCCTGGCTCGGGGGCACAGGAGCTGCAGAGGAGCCCGCACGCCCCAGGGAAGGCAGCAGCGGCTGGGGCGCAGGCTGCTGTCCCACAGGGGCTGCAGCAGTGGGCATGGGCACAGTGCCAGCCCCACACTCGGGCCATCGGGGACTGGGGCTTCGAGTCCGTCCTTACCAGGCACTCGCCAAATTTCAATGGCTGCTCTGTCTTCAGCAGCTGCTCGAGATTCTTCCTCTTCAGAAATTTGGCTACACAAAGCAGCGCTTCCCGAGAGGTCTGCAGAGCAACAGAGTCCACGAGATGGCACCACAGCCCACCATGGGACCTGTGTCCCTGGACCAAGGCCAGGAGCAGGTAGTCCAGCCTCCTGCCACGGGAACACCAGAGCCTAGAAAGTCCTCACCTGTGCCACTTTGCTGGTTCTCATCATGCCACAGTAGAGGAAGAATGGGAACAGGTTCTGGACCACATGTATCTTCAAGGGCTTCTTTCCCTCATCCACTCCCGACTTCATCACCTCTTGGAACAGGTGAATGGAGAGGATCTGCACATGGCTGTTGTCCTGATGGAAAGGAAGAGGAAGAGACCTCAGCACTGGCTTCTCCACAAGGAGCAGTTTCCTGGCAGCACCCAGCACCCCCAAATGGGAGCACAAAACCTTACACTGTCAAAGAGTGGCCGCAGAGCCTCAGCCAGCTTCAGGGCGGTGGGGCTGGAGGTTAGGATGTCTTTGCTCTGCAGCATATTCAGGAATATTGGCAAGGCCAGCTCAACCACCTCGACATCTGCATCCCACAGGAGCTGCATGAGACTTTCCGAGAGGCTGCACATTCTCTTGGCCTGGGAGGAACACAAGGCTGTGCTGTGAAGCCAGGAACGGCTGCAGAGCCAACCCTGCTCGGGCAGGGCAGCCCCAGGTGCTGCCGCGGGCCTGAAGGCCAAAGGCTTGTCCTAAAGGCCTCGGGCAGCTGAGCAGGGAGGCAGCAGAGCTGGGAGCAGCTGCCACAGCTCCCAAAGTGACTGCGTTGCCCTGCCCCAGGATTCCAGCACGGCTTCGGCCAACTGCCCTCTCCTCCTCACCATCATAGGATCCGTGCTCAGCAGT